TCCTTCTGGTTCCCTCTAATGTCCAAGCTTCAAAGTCCCGTCCTATCATTTTTTTTTTTAAAGAATTCAAAACAAAGTATTTTCTCATGGGAAGGATTCTTATAATTAATTTCAAAATCTTATTTCAAATTTATCTGGGCCCTTGGTCCATTTGTAACTTTCTAAAATCAAAGTTTTAATCACCCTTTTGCTGTTTATTCCAGAAAAAAAAAATTAACTCCTCAAAACTTCCTCTGCTAAGGGTTGGAGTAAATTCAGCCAGGGCTGTAAAACGTGTTGCTCCAAAGGTTTCTAATAGCTGAAAAGCAGTTAACAAGCAATTTCCAAAAGTGATTAGAAAAAGAAGTATGCAAACCCAAGGCGCTGACTGTGAGTTGAGCAAGATACTTATTCCCTCCTCCCCCAGAGCTGTAAACCCACCGGAGACCACTGTCTTGCAGTCTCCTCGTGAGGAGCAACTGTCTAGAGCACTTGTGGGCAATCTCAAGTCCTCTCCTTGTCTGGAGAGGAATTACGAAGAGCCTGTCCACTCACTGGCTCTTCAATCCACTGCAGTCGTCGGCTCCACTTTTAGCAGAGCCATCTTCAGTTCGCCATTTCTTCCCCGGAAGTCGTCGCCCTAAAAGCAGCACTTAATGGCAGCACACAAAATTGCTAAGCTAGCCGCTTAAACACAATTGCAAAAAAGGAGCAGATTTAATGCATAGAAAGTAAGTCAACATAGAATAAAGGCCTAATAACAATTCCCTTGGGATTTTGTTGAAAGGTAAATGAAAGGTATTTCCTAAAGACATGAAATGATATATACTAAAGTCAACACATCCCTTCCTGCAACGTTGCTGAGCACCAGGACCTGGAAAGCTTCTAAAGGTAGTGCAGTGATTCAGGAGTTCAATTCCTAGTTTGAACCCCATAGAATAAGGTTTAGGTGCCTACTTCTGTGAGTCCCAATATAGAATGAAACTGGTCATGTACTGCCTACTAGTGATCCATATAACTATATAACTGAAGTTATAGATTTTGCTATGCTTTCAGTGACTGTTCTCTTAACAGGGACAATCTTGAAGCTGCCATTCCTCAGCATTTTTATTTCTTTGGCTGTTCTGTAACAACACCTTGTGGTATTTCTATTCTCACAGCTATATTTTGAGATTGCAGATTTTCTCTGTAATGACATTTATTTATACTGAGCATATTTTATATCTGTCAATATATTTTCTTTGATCCTACCATATCATTAAGTCACAACTGGTGAACACGCTTTAAGGCTACAGTTCCACATTGCATGAAACAGAGAAATGGTGCAAACATGATATTCCTTTTATGAGTTCTTCCCTGAACTCTCTTAACACATAATGTCATTAAAGTTTCCTACATTCAGCCTTGAGGAATAAACTGTCCAGCTCCAGGGCAGAAGAAAATTATTAATGCATAGCGATTCTACATCAGGAAGTGATGCCTGTCATTATTGAAATAACTTCTGCTTTGATTGACAAGTTAGCAGTTGTAGGGAGATTAAATATCACTATTAGTATGTTTTACATCTCTTGTTACTCATGTCAAAGGACAGTCGTTTGAGAAGAAAATGCAGTACATAATTTATCTGGTCTTTCTGATGATAGCCTCTAGGGCAGTGTTGGCTGGTGAATTCTGGGAGTTGAAATCCACACATCTTAAAGTTGCTGAGGTTGAGAAACAGTGTTCTAGGGCAATCTGGATGTAACCAGTGTATTTGTGATTCTCCCTCACCTTTATGCATACAGTACATCTGTGTAAGTGTGCTCATTCTCTTCATCCTTTCTTTAAAGTATATATCCTAAACAAATTTGCTGAGCAAAAATCCTTTTGAACTGAAGGTATTGGACTCCTGAGTGGCTGCGTTTAGTGTAGGATTTGCTGCATTCTGAAGGACACGGTAGTACTGAAGCCAAAGTAAAGGCATTCCCCCCCCCCCCCCCAAAATCTGTAAGAGTTATACATTCCTTTGCAAGGCAATTATGCACTGAGTTATTTTCTTTTCCTACAAAGAGTGGGGAAGTGAACTAATTGCCAGTGCTCAGTGAATGGGAAAAAAGTAGCGGCAGTCCATGGCTGCCTGTACACGTGACCAAGCTTCAAAAGTCTCTATGGAATTTTGAGAGAGATGTGATAGCTGTGATTGTGATGGGTGACCGGGCACATTTCCTTTCAGAGTTGCACAAAAACAGGTGACGAGGGTAGTTTTTTAAGGCAGTCACTTCTTGGCTGACTTGTTTCTGTGCGCTGCTCTTGCCATCTGCTGGAAAAGGAAGAAAGGAGCCTTGCTCTCCTGCATTTCCATTCCTCTTGGCACTAGTTTATCTGCAGGCTAATACAAATGCAACATATCACACATTTTTAAGAAATACCGAGCAATGCATGGAATTGTGTTCTTCCGGTCCCCAACAGCCAGATCTCCTTTTTGTTAGAATGTGCTAATCTTCCAATCCTGATTGAATGAGAAGTCTTGGTTAGCATTATTCATGGTCAGCCTTGTTTCCAGTATAACCAGGCTTGTTTAGGGAACATGTGGTGCTCTGGCAAGTAATCCAGAATTGGGAAGTTTGAGCCATTCTGTAGTTGTGCAGACTCAGTGCAGACCTTAGAGCAGTGGTTCTTAAACTGGGGGTAATTATCCCCAAGTCATAACCTGGGGGTAACAGAGCAATCTGTAATTGCTTGTTTGTGAGTCACGGATCCAGTTTGGGACTGCCACTGCTGAGATGCTTGGATAAAACAATAGTCTGTTTGTAGGGGATAATGACATTATTTGAGACTGTGCAAAGGGGCAGTTGGGTCAAACAATTTAAGAACCACTGCCGTGGATTTTCAAACAATACCTTTTCTAATAACGGGAAGGCCATAAATTCTCCTATCATAAATCAGTCTATGATCTTCAGAAACCTATTAGCAAACTGCTTTTGAAGCAAGTATTGCTTTACAGTAGACTTCAGTTTTACTGCTGATAGCATCTCTTGCAGACCTTCCATATGTGGATCTTTTCTCCTTTTTTAAAGATTCCCTTTTTCCTTAAAAATGCATATATAAGCTCTACTTTATCCAGGTTTACATTTAGACATTGTGCAAAATGCTGGTGACTCCAGGCAGCATAAAATATAAGGCTGAGATTACACATCACACTGATATGGATTGTTATTTGGGGGCATGGCTTGTTGTGCCTCTCCTATAGTTGATGCAATCCACCATAGTCAAACAAACCATAGTTTTGTGCAATATGTGAATCAGTTCATAATATCACTGAACAGTGATGAGTTTGGGCTAATTCATGGATATAATTGCTTCACTATGAATTTAGGATATTTGGCCAATTTAATTCAACCTGGAACTATGTCAGTTTAATCTGAGTCATTCAGTTATTGTGCATTGTTTTCTGTACCTGTGGGCAAATACTGATCTTACAGTGTTTTGTTGATGACCCATTAAAACGTTTGCCATAAAAGAGTCCAGTATTTGAACTTGAATGACAGTGGCTTTTCTAAGGGCCTCTAAACATCATCACTCCTATATAAGACATGATGGAAGGGGCAAGAAAATTACAAGTGGTTAAATGATTTTTTTAAACATACCGTTCTAATTGGAAAGACAGTGACAGTCCAACCCTCTGCTCTAAAATAGTCTTTCCTAAATTGATGCCTTCCAGGTGTGTTGCACTTGCATCATCCTAAGGCAGCCTGTCCACAGTGAGGAAGGGTGCTTTAAAGCAGTGTTTCTCAAAGCTGGCAGCTTGAAGATGTGTGGACTTCAACTCCCAGAATTCTTTGTCTAAAACAGGAATGGCCAATGGTGGACCATATCTATTTTATGAAGCAATTTTATTTCGCCCTAGAAACGCTTTCACATTTTATTTAAACATTGAAAGAAGATTGCATATAAAGTTGTTGACATTTTTGCTTATAAAAGAATATTTGAAAACATCTCAGACATGCATATGGTCTATTGGTGCAACATTTTTCAAATTTTTTCAGCTGTGGGACATGTTTGTTTTAAAAAAAAAAAAAAAAGTTCCCAGAACCCCTGATTAAGAGGCAAAGCACAACTGATAGGAAATTGGCTGCACTTGAGTGATTTATTTTATTTTATTTATTTTATTTTATTTTACCTATGGTCTCATGGAACCCAGTCAAGGCCTCATGGAACCGTAAGATTCTGTGGATCACAGTTTGAAAAACTTTGTACTGTATTAGAGGATGTTAATATGGGTTATCTCTACTAGCAGTGCTACTCCAATAGAGGCAGGCAGCACTTTGGCACCTGGAAATAGGTATTTTGACATCAGCCCTTTCTTTTCACAGACACTTGTGGCAAAAAGCGTATAAAATATACAAAAATAGGGGAAGATGGAAGACAAAAGAATTGTATTTTGTGTTATTATCTTGCTGGCAACAAACTTAAGGAAGTCTGGGTTATAGCAAAGGACCTAAACAATTTACCCCACTTCTTGTGGAGTAAAATATTCATTTGTTAATAGCAGTGCTTAATATAAATCTCCACAGGTAACATGAGCAGTTGCAAAGCTGTTAATACAACTAAACAGTGGTGTGCAAATAAATATATAAAAACTGGCTCTGTCACCTCCATTGCTGCTACCACACCAGGAGCTGCCAAACAGCTGATTGTCAAGTTAGGTGTTGCAGTTCGGCTCTGCTCTCAACCAGCTCACAAAATTCCTGAAAATTTACCAAGTGGCTTTCACAAGCCAGCTCAGATGCACCATTGCAACTAAAGCACTCATATAAAACTATACGAATAAATTAAATTTCAACCAAACCAAAACTAGTTCAAGTGAACATAAACTAAACCAAAGGAAAGAGTAAAGCCTAAGTATTAACTGTAATATACTGAAGACCAGAAAGATCTCATTTCTACTTCAAGAAAGCAGTATAAGAGTCTTGCAGTCAAACCTCCCCCAACCTCAAATCATTGGGGGAAGAAACTCACAAAAGCTTAAATTACTATAATGAATTGGCCATCTTTTTCTTTAAAAAAAAATAAGTATATACCTTATGAAGTCAATCTAATTGAATTGACTAGATTAATTGCTATCTTTTCCTTCAGCTAAAACCTGTATTTAACATGACTGCAAATGAAGGCCGAAAAAGATCTATGAGCGCCCTTGTGGTTGTTGGAAATGGAAGAGGATCTGCTGGTAAGTAATTGTCCTCCAATAGGTGGCTCAGAGAGTGGAAGCTATAGATAATCCTTCCACAGAGAGGTAGAATTCTCCTTTTGCTGAATGTATTAACATTCGGGAGACACTGCTGCAGACAAGCATCTTTAGAATTAGAGCAGAGCACAAATAGCTTGGTTGTCTCTGCTCTAACTTCCCGGACCCTGTGCTGAGATCACAGTAACTTTAAGGGTTGCAAAATGATAGCATTGGGCGTGGTTGAGCAGACACCTTGAACCTTGAATGTGTGTTGCAGTGGACCTCCTTCCTTGAATATTATTCACATCAAGCCTGTGCTGATGCTGTTTCCCGTATGTAATAAGATTGTCATTGTTCCTATTAAGCAAGCTTGGTTGAAAACTGATGTTATTCACAGCAGTAGGGCAGATTGCTCTCTATTAAAATCTGCACTTCAGATATAAGCATGTACTGAAAAAGGTAGACACATAAATGAGCTTTTGACTACAGTATCTTCACTCTGTGGTATCAGGCCAGCAGCAGCTCTGCAGATTTTTTTCCTCCTATTTTTTTTAAGACTTCTTCAGCTTTCATCTCACCTATGATGCTGTTTTCATTATTTTTTCCCATTTGCCTTAATATAGCCCCATTATTTGCTTTTGCCCAATTTCTTTCTCCTTGTAGAATTTAAATGTGTGCGATATATGTCATATATGAGCTAATTACCAAGGAATAAGAAAGAGGTTCTTTACTAGGATAGAAATGTAGAAACAACACAATACTGCCTAAATTTGGCAAAGACTGAGGAAACAGGGAAGGAAGCTTTTCTAAATCTGTCAACAGTCTTCTTGGAAATAATCTGTTTTGTAGCAGCAGCGCAGCCCAGATTGTAAAGCTCAGCATCAGGGGCCTGTTTATGTTCAGAATAAAAATATAATACAGCCCAGCAACAAAGCTAATATAATTAGCCATATTTTTCTGTTAGATTCCTTTACCTTTTGTAATTTTTGCATGCTGACAATTCTTATTTATAATAAAAAATAAAAATATATAATTAAAAAATCCTTATGACTTTCAGACTTTTGCTGAACAAAAAGTGGACCACAGATTGAACAAGGAAGCAAGGGCAAATTTATTGGGGGAGGTGGAAGGAAGCATTGTTGAAATTCAGTAAGCCTTTTCGCTGGGATAGAAAGAATTCCATCTGCGCCTTCTAGTTACTTGGATATATTTGCAGCTCTTAGTCCACTGGGGGAAACTGGAAGAGAACCTTAGTATTACATAGATACGGGAAAAACCTTGGTACTGTATAAAGAACCTTGGTGCTATAAATAGGAGTTTCCACATTTTTTTTGCAAGTTTCCATTTGTGGTATTTGTCTTCTAACAGTCCATTTGTATCTATCAGGTTTTGCTCTGGGAAAAGCATCCCACATGAAGAACGCATTAAGAAAAGTATGTAATGCAAAAGCCGAACACCATCAATTGTTATTAAAGTCTGTCTTTACTTCCATGATTTTACAATGTTGTGATTCTAGCCTTCTGGGCAGATGTTTGTAAAATATTAAAAAATATCTCAGATCATATTAAAAAATAGCTCAGATCAGGGTTTCTGATTAACAGCCTTTCTCATCACTTGCTATTGGTTGCTTTTATCTGCACTTGGCAAACACTGAACGTGTGTGCAAAATACATGCTCTGCCATTAAGCTGGATATCTTGTCCCTCCCACCACAAATTCCATAGACATCATTCATGGAATAATAAGGACCATGAATTGTCTATGAAAATGTGCAAGATAGATACAATGGCGTGGATAGGAAGCCCCTGTTACTCAAGAAAGTATTCTTGAATCTCTCCCTTATTCACTGCTGCCACTTGCTTGCAAAGATTCAGTCAATTCCCACTACTGCACATGGGCTGGTACTCAAAAGATAGATAGGCTCTTCTGCAGAGTGTACCCCTTCCCCCCCCCCCCTTGCCTGTTTGAAGAAACTTCAGTGATTTCAAATTACAGATTTGGAGGACTTCAGAATTTTAAAAGGCAGGGAAGGGCATCCATCTGGAAGATGATGTCATTTGTCACGCGCTCAGTATCTGTGACTTTGCATTCACAGTGAAGTGCAATGGCTCATAGATGTTTTGTGCTTCCCTTTGTGCTGAATAAAGTCCCTACCACCACTCTTAGCTCTCTTAGACCAAGCCTGCCAAAAATCTCCAGAAAGCAAGCAAGCAAGCTGGAGCCAGTCTCTTCTTGTCATTCATAAGAGAACTGATTTATTTACATTTTTATGAAAACCATGGGCTATCAAAAGCTTAGGAAAGAACCAGATCAGGCTTCTCAGCTGAAGCCAATTTGTGATTCAAAACTTACTCAGAAGTGACTGAAACTAACAATTGTATACAGATTTTAAATATTATATACAACTATTCTCTAACTTTCTGCATGTAACCTTTTTCATTTTGAGCTAACATTGGAAGGAATATAACTGGAGCTTTTTTACTCTCCACAGGCCATTTTAATTTTCCTTTTCTTGAAAAAAAAAGTGTTGCAAGTCAGTTTTTCCAGATGAATTAGTTAAACATCTCTTTTCTTTGTTTTTCAGTATCATAATTATTTTTCACATCTTCCTGCTGAGCTCTAGGCCAAGAACACTAAGATTTCCTTAATTCAGACTTGACATTTTAAGATTGGCATTTCACTTGAATATCAATCTATCTTTATTAGATTAAACCAGACTTTGTGAATTAGTCCCTCACTTGGTCATGTATGTTGAAGAAGGTATTGCCTCCTGGTGACTTAAGGAAGGCTAACAAAAATTAATATTTTTATGACCCATATTATTAAAATGTCGTCCCTTGTTAAATAAACTGGAAGTATTTGTTAAGCATAGTACTTCCAGCTATCATTTTGATCTCTTTTAATTGATTTAAGTATTAGATTGTAGTTTATAATTATGCAGAGAAGTAAGTTTAATGTTTTCTCCTTTTATCATTCCTGTGACTTAGCTTTAAAATTGAGTTAGTACCTTTTCTTAATCAGTTCTAATTTTTTTTAAAATGTTCCTTTCCCCAGGCAAAGAACAAAGCTGTTCGCCATTTACAGTATGTTGAAAGATATGAAGATCATACAAGTAAGAATTAGAATTACATTTTAATTGAAATTTTAAAAGTGAGATGATTACAGTATTTTTCCCAGATATTACAAAGCTGTTTATTTCTTCTGTCTCTTTGTCTCAAAATCCAAGATTCAAGAGTTTGCAGAACTAGACTGCTTAATATGCACCATCAGAAACTTTTTGGGGGGGGCACCTGAATGAATAGCCGTTTTATTCAGTCTCATACCCAAATAAGACCTCTTGCATGAATTTTTCCAAGGATCATTTAAAAATGTTGTGGGGCTCAGAGGGATGTCTGCAGAATTCTCTAGGCACTTTCCTCTCCCACCCCTGAGAATACCAACATCTGATTAGTTTTAGCAAGGTTATTTTGCCCTTTCTTTCAGATTATGCCAAGAATTTTTGATGCTTGGTAACTAGTTGCAACACATTTGAATTAGCCACCTCAGATGAAACACACAAACATAAATTGATTGCACCAATTTGTAGATTGTCCCAAACTACCTTCCTGGTTATGTTACCCCAGTAATGGAAAAGTAAAAGCTTTCTATTTTCTTAAGACTCAGAACCAGAAAATCAATACTTCAGCTTTTTATTCTGCTGCCATTATTTAAAAAAATGTAAATACTATACTGTACAAATTGCTTTTCAGACAGGTTTCAGAGCAGTGTACACTCAACAAGTGAAAATGTTTCCACCTCCTGTGCTGTACTGCTTTCTGTGTAGGAAGTAGATTGTCTGTGAAAAAGCAGTAAATGTGTTCAAGTTGTATTGAAATCAGTGGGAATTCAAAATACATGTTTAGCAATATTTTATTTTTATTTTAGTTTTCCATGATATTGCAACCACTTTTAATAAAACAACAATTCGGATGAAGAAGCAAAACAGAGGTGAGTAAAATAAGAAATTGGCATAGAAATTGGGAATTTCTGTGTGGGGAACATTCATAGTATTATCTGTATCAGAGTCAGCTAATACTTAGATTCATTCAATTTGGATTGCAGACTGACCTATTCAACTGAGTGGCTTTAATTTCCCATTAAATTCTGTGAGTAGAAGCTTGGATTAAGTCTGCTGTAGCCACAAAGTAACATATGGCACAATATTTACTTGTGGAAGAATCGATGATAAAAATGTTGTCCTGCTATGCATATAGTTAGTTATCTCTGTGTTTTCATTTAATCAGTTGCACATCTACTATTGACATGAGAAATGGACAATTGTTCTCCAATTGCTGAGTGACAAGCTTGCCCTGCAGTCATAGCTTTTTAATAAAATACGTTTGATCACACTTGGATTTTTAAAAGATTTATAAGCCTAATTACATGAAGCAAGTTTCTGTTGGAAAATATAAGAGGACTGTATAAATCTAAATAAAAGTGACAATAGAATATCTGCATCAAAAATAAGTGTAATGTTCTACAAAGAAAAGTATTCTGCATTTCATTTTAAAACCAGCTTGTCCAACTATAGCTCAGTTTTGCTAGCTCCTTTTGTACTTAACTTCCTTTGAAGGAATGCAAAACTACATCTCCTCTGTTTAACAACTGAAAATTTTGCTTAATTAATTCAATTGTGTTAAAAAATCCTGATTCCTGCTAACTATATCTATTATGCAATTTAAGTAACTAGCACAACGCATTCTTCTTTTGCTTCTCATGGCCAAAAGTATGAGCACTAGAATCCCAGCACTCCCAATCACTGAACATTTGATTCACCACTCTCCTTCCTTCTGAAGTTTCAGCAGATACTGCTCATGCTCTCAGATGTGTCTTCTAGTCATAAGGATCAAGATCTTTCGATTTCATGATCTGAGAAAGAATCAGGTTGCTGGCATAATTGCATCTGAGTGATCTCTTGAGAAACTACCAAGAGTTAAATTTAATGCCATAAATAACATATACTGTATATAAGACCTTTGGCAGGATCATTTTTTCAGTCTCAACTGAAAACTGAATTTCTAACAAATCAAAATTGCTCAGTTTGTGTGAGACATAATAAGTGTACTCCCAGATTCCTTTGATGCATGAATTAAGCTGAAACTATACATAGTCGTGGTGAGTCCAGCAGTTTGTGTAAATAGTTTTAGGAAATGCAGAACATCCTGGGCCTGCCACTAGGCTTCCTGTATTAAGAATATTCCCTTGATCACATTTAAGTAGCCTTCTCATGTAGACATTTTTAAGATAAATAGTATACTAAACAAATATACCCATTCTTACCTCATTTGTTTGATCTTATAATAATATAATTGCAATAACATCAACAAAATATTAGGAAGAATAGGAATATTCAAGATCTTAAAATAAAAATAGAACATTTAATTTTTTGCAGATGATATGCTCGTTTTTTCTTAAAAATGCAAGTAATACATGTCAGTCAAAAATTGAATTAAATAAATTTCATGAAGTAGTAAATTTAACTTAGGTAAACATTACAAAGGACTCTTATCAGTTTAATTATGACCTCCTTCTGCAAAAACTGAGATGGAACTTAAGTCATGACCATTTTTATTACAATTGTTTGATAGAACAATTGCAATTAAAATTACCATACTTCTTGAAACATTTTTATTTTAAGTATTCCCAATTCAGTTGCTTAACTCTTTGGTTTTATATATGGCAATCACATAATAAAACTTCATTTGTATGTAATTATAATAAATGTTGGAATGGGCAAACTATACTAGTATAAAGAAAAGTATGAATGTACCAAATTTGAGATACCTTGATACCCTTCAACTAAGACAATTAATCCGTATCAGAGGAAGTCATACAATGTTCAGTGGGCACAAACTGAGTTAGTACTCTAAATGGAACCTTGTGCTATTTTTTCTTCTAAGTAATAAATCAATGTCTAGTATTTCAAGTTCATATTTATAACTTTAGAAGTTTAAAAAATGTGAAAACCCTTAGCAAATCTGCTTCCAATAATATGCTGTTGTAGATAGCCCCTAATAATATATTCCTCAAGTAAGTTGTTAGATTTGATTTAACAGCAGCTGCTTATAATATTGCAATTTTTATTTGAATCTTACTAAATTATTTTTCACAGGGTATGGTCTTCGCTGTCACCGTGCTATCATCACGATCTGCAAACTGATTGGGATTAAAGACATGTACGCCAGGATTTATGGATCCAATAATTTACTGAATCTCACTACATGTCTCTTTAAGGGATTAGCTAATCAGGTAAAAATTACAGTGGGTGACTAAAACATGTTTATCACTGTGTTAAAAATATTAGCTTTGGCCTATATTTTTAATGATATTTTAGGAACTGTGCTTTGCCATAGTACAGTGGGAAGGTACAGGGAGGGAATGTTCAAATAAATTTAAAATCATTTCTCAATCTCCTAACCATGATTAGTGGAGTATGAAAATTTTCTCCAATGAAATCTTTATTAAAAAACTTTTTTTACAATCCAGACACGGATTGTATTTGTTCTTAAAAATATTGCCATGGCTGAGACTTGAGGCAGGCACGGAACAAGAACAACACCAATGTTGATACAATGTAAAGGTGAATGAAATTAAATCGATTAGGGATTTTGCCCTGATAAGACAATCAGAGGCCAAATAAAAAAGTTATGTTCCTCATTGTAGCCCAGTGTTAACAGCTTGAGTGACAGTCTCTCTTGGGTATTGGGCAAGTAGAGATATTTCTCATCTCCTACTATCTGATCCATTATCAATGAAATATGCCTCGGATTAAACTTGAGGCCTTCTATTTGGAATACATCTGCTTTTACCATTCATTTATGATTTCTCCCCCCCCCCTTTGAGGGGGGTTATGTTTTGTTTTGTTGGGGGAGTGCTTTCATTTCCTTTATAATCCAAGGATCTTCAAGCAAACAAATTTCAGCTTTATAATTTTGCTGCATTTTCTTCAGCCTCATTTGTGCTTTGTAGAGCTTGCATTCTGAATGGGTTGCTTGCTTTCTTTAATATTTATCACATGTCTGAAAAATCATCTAAAGTTCATCTAACCTCCTAGCTAATTTTTATCCCAAGAAAATCTGTAATGGTGGAAATCAATCTGGGGATCTCATTTATTGCTTAGAATGCCAGTACATTACTATGAGAAATAGGCAAAATAGTTTTGAAGAACTATGAAGTTAATTCAGAAGCTGGTGTGACAGACGCTGCTAGATTAAATGGTCCATTGGCTGATGCAACAAGCTATTTATATGTGAAAGCAGAATGCATATTGTTCTTTCCATTTCTTAACTTTTCAAATCTTGAGCTTCCACTCCTCATTTCAGACTTTCTTGTCTTTCTTTTGACTTTGATATCTCTTGTGTTTAGGCTAAAACTCTCTTTGCTATATTCATAATTTCAGTTTTTAGTTCCTCCTTTGTTTCCTCCATTTTCTCATGTGATTGCTGGAATTTTTAATTTAACACTATGATTTATGTTGTTAATTTCTTGAACAGTTGGTTAATCATGGCTGAGTCTGATTCTTCTCCACACACCCCTTTTTCTTTCTTGACATGGTTCTTTTTTTCCCCTTCTTTCTTTATAAGTTGTGCACATCTTTTCCATTTGCTTTTCTCTCCCTTTCTTCTCTTCAGCCAGCCCCTCAGATTCTACAAAATTATATAAATTGAGATCACTGTTAGATTATGTGCTAAGTAGGGTGGCGATGGGGGAAGTAAAACAGATGAGATCAGTTTCTGGCAGTTGCTTTTAAAACCGCTTCTGTGTGAGTGCTGGATATTTCAAAAAACAGTGCAGCCGAAGGGGGTACAAAGTTCCCCAGCCATACTTGCTTAATTCCTGATGAAAGTGCCTAGGAATTTATAGAAAATACCCCAAACCACAAAGCGGGACAGAAAAAAATGTCGGCAAACCAGCATAGGTCCATCTCCTAAAAATACCAGATTTAAAGAAGTTTGCTGCCTAAAGCTCTGCACGTGTCCTGTAATTTATCAGGTTTTTTGCCAAATGGCAACTCTAAAATAGCTGTCATTTTCATAGGGATTGCCAAGCAAACAGGAAGAGGTAGAGTTCTTTATCTCAAATTTTTAAAGACTGCCTGAAACATAAGCAAATAGAAGAAGCAACCGTATTTGCAAATGTCATCTAATTCTGTCTAAAACCAACAATCAGTTCTGGGGCAGAGGGAGTGGAATTTAAAGGAGACTAGTTCCCAAATCTATGTGTCTGAAATTGGACAGGCCTTTTTCATCTTCTTCTGAAAAAAGTAATATAAAGAAGACTGCTTCACACTGGGGCCCAACTGAAATTGGATGCACTCTTATTTGATACAGATCACAGGATTGAATCAATCTTTAGCACTGTGAAACTAGTTTTTATTAGCATAGAAAGTCTCACAGTATTTTAAACCTGAGCTTATCTGCATCCTAGCAAATGTTTGCTTCATACATAATTCTTACTGATTTCTAAAGGATCACTTCATTTCCTTACAAAAAACTGTCATGTCTGTCTTGCCTTGGGGTTAAGGCTAAGGCTAAGAGATACTGCTTCTGATACTAAAAACAGTAAAGAGCAGTTTAGAACTAGCAGCTAAGGCTGGCCTTTAGCTTCCATGAAACCACTGGTTTACTAAATTTTGCAATTTGATAAATTGATATTTCTGTGGACTAAAATCCTCTCTTTGTATTGTCCCAACAGGACACTCATCAAAGCCTAGCGAACAAGAAGGGTCTCTATGTGGTAGAATTCCGTGAAGAGTGTGGCCCACTGCCCATTGTTGTTGCAAAGCCTAGTGGAATGGTCAGAGAAGATCCTGAACCAGAGGAAAAGGCTCTTGGTGTCAAACTGGAATGGAAAGAAGTGAAGGCAGCACAAGGAATAAAGAGTAAATGGGCTGATGTCAAAAGACCAGTTTGGTAGATTTTGGCAGTATTTAGATATACAAAATTAAGGAAGATCCCGCGTAATCACATAATAGGCAATATTTATTGATTCCACGTGAACATTCTTACTGGTTGCCTTGATTATTGCAATCATTGTAAGTTAGTCATTCAAAACAACTTAGCCAACTTTCTTCAGCTGATATCTCTTTAAAATGCAATCATTTTGTGGCATGCAGGCTGTAAAGGAAAAAGGGAATTTACAAAATCTCTTGACAAGAAAATGAGTCTTTTCACAAATAATTGGAGACAACAATACAGAAAAATAAAGCTGTAATTGAATTCCATTTCGCCTCACTTATCTCTATATGTTCAAGTAGGAAATTGCTACTTAGGCTTTTAATGAAAGAGGTAACTCGATGTGTTGGCCTTTAATACCACTTGAACGATACTGAACCAAAAGATACAGTTGGAAGGAATCCCAGTAAGATTAAAAAGTTTTGGGTGACTCCTCCTTGCCACATACAGCATAATGTTAGAGGATGTCTATTGGATGCAGAAAGCTCCAGGTCCAGTTTCAGGGCTGAGAAAAAAATATAATTGAAACCCTGAAGAGTTGTTCTGAACAACATCGGCAGTTCTGAGATAATAGAAGAAATAATCTGTCACAGTATAAGACTTTAGCAATATCAGCATGCAATCTTAAGACTTGAATCCACCACTCCAAAGAAATGTAAAAACACTGCGTCCTTTTTGGTGATGGACCAAAAGGTTGTCCATCACCAAAACTTGTAAGATTATAAGATTATGTGCCATCACACAGTCCTGGATTACTGTTTTTCATTTGTTGAGTCCATATGAGTGGTTTGGTAAGTATAGTGTTTCCTTTATATATGTTGATTGCTTGGTGAGATGAGTTGTTCCTGATCTATCTGTGAACATGTCTTCAAAATCTTAAAAGAATTTTCTGGTTTGCAGTTAACTCTGAGTTAATCTGGATTTTCTCTGATCTTGTTAGGATGTTATTGTGTTGGCTCAATACCACTAAGACAGGGTTTAATTCCCATTTATATACATCCATAGTTATTCACATGATTGATGTTAATTTTACTTGGATTAGGTAAAATTGACAATCTACTGGTCCATTCCTTATCACTGATAAATACCTACCATTTGACATGGAGTTTGCCTGCTAAACTAGGTAATAGTAGAAGGACTTGGTGTCTTTCTTTTTCTCTCCTTATTCTACCACTTTCTCACCCTTTTCTGGGTTTCTTGGACATAACTGAAACATTCCTGATCTAATTGTGTTATATCTTTTTCATTTCTTTCTTTGTTCCAAAATATACTTGATGATATTCTTGGGGATTTGCTAACCGATTTCTCCATCCTTCTTTTACAATGTCCAGAGTACTTCAGGGCCATCTACCTTAAAGGAGTTCAAATGAACTAAAGCCCCTAGATGTTTGTGGTACCTCTCGATAAGCAAAAAGATAAAGTAACTAGGTATTCCAATTCCAATATTTCTTTAAGATTTAAGTCATATGCTCCATCAAGTCTTCAGTTTAGGCTGATTCTGAACTTCCAAGTCAGCATAAAGATGAGGGCTGACTGAAGATTTGTCTCTTGATCTGTAAGGACTTCTTGAGGGATCCCCACCCTGCTAAAGACTTCATAATTTTTTCATCAATTTTCTTTGCTGTTGCCTGTCCTAAGTGCTTTGGACTCATGGGTGGTAATACACATTACCATTATGTATTAATGTCCCTAGCTAGTTTTAGAGATCAGGCCTACTACATATAATGTGATCTTTTAAAATGGTTACAGGGATCAGAAGAACCCTGATCATGGGGTGCCTTATATTGGAGTCCCTTTCTTTTAACCAGTTGACAGTATTGCAGTTGCAACATTGTAGCAATATTGGCTGGTCTCTTCAGGTATCATTGGCCAATAAAGTGGTTTAGGGCTTGATATAATCTCTTCCCAAATGCCCTGCCAATAAGACCCATTAACCAGGAGAATAAGCTGTTTATACATTTAAGGAATGACCATTTGCTGTAGGCATTCTCTAGTAAAGATGTGAGCCCTTACCCTACATAAGAGTTTATTCATTATTTCAAAACAGGAGCACTCTAGTCTTTATTCTCTTCACTAACTGTTTACCAGTACTCTCTTAATTAAAAGTCTCATAGATGTCCTAAAGTTAAATCAATTTCCTGTAAGAGAAACGGATTATAGGTTACCGTCTAACCTTAGCTGCTTTATTACAACTTTTATTTTGGGGAGATGCCCACGTTTCCCTATTTTCTACATTGCTGCATCTCACAACTCTCAGTGGTTAAGCTCTTTTAATAACTCCTGCCACATTTAAGGCTCCTTCTTTGTTTGAGCCTTTAATTTGCAATAGGAAAGAAGAACAGTTCCTGTAAGGAGATCAATGGGAAGCACTTATACTTTTCCTATCAGGAGATTCCTTGTTTCCAGATCCAAGCCTTCAGCAGTGATACTTTATGTGTTTATCATGCACATTGGTAAAACTGTCTTCTTCCTTCTCAGGAGCTTTTGAAATTAAATGAAGAACTTGGATTTTTTTCCATGTCTTTTTTAATTGTTTTGGGATGTTTTGGTTTGGTGTGCCTTGTGTTTGGCACTATTGGATGTAAATGTCTTTTACATTTGTATTCTTGTGAAACTGCCAAGAGTCCTCTGGGATTGTAGGAAGGGGGTATAAATGCAACAAATTCATAGTATTGACTAAGCCAACCACCTACTTCCATTGACTTCTGCCGAGACTGTCATCTCCTTTCCTAACAATACTTTAAAGCAGTGTTGTCCAAACTTGGCCACTTTAAGATGAGTGGACTTCAACTCCCCAACATGGCTGGCTGGGGAATTCTGGGGGGTGAAAGCCCCCCAACTTTAAGTGGGCCAGTTTGGGCAAAAAAGCTTTTAAGTAATGTTAGG